CGTGGGGGCCCCGCCGTGACCCCCCCACTCCCCGCCGCCATCCCGGGGAGCCATCTTAGGGCTCCCGCGCCCCCGGAGCGGGGGCCGGCCCCGGCCTCGTCCGCATCCACGCGCGTTCGCGGCGCTCCCGTGCTCTGTGCCCCCCGTCTGGAGCAGGAGGGCTGTGCTTTCCCTGCCTCTCCGCTGCTTGACGGGGAGCGATTTTGCCTCCCTTGCCCGGGTAGATCCGTTTCACAGTCATCTTTCTTGCCAGCCCGAATTCCCTGCACGTATATTGTGCCGTTCCTCCATTTTTTTCCCCACCCAGGCATCAAGTTTTGAATCGCACTCAGGAGCCTCTCCTTCCTACAGGTGCATGTAGGAGTAGACTGTTGCGCTAGTCAAAGAGCTCGCGAGGAAGGATCCTTGCGAGGAGGTGGTGTTTTGCCTCTTTGCTGTCATCTGCATAAAGAGCACTCGATTATTATTTGGAAGGTGCAGTTTATTTTTTAAATTCTCGTGAAGAAGCAAAACCAAACACCGTGCTTTTACAGAACCAAAGCTTATCCTTTTACAATGGGTCCGTGGTTGTGATTCCTAGTGCGAAAGATAGCAGAGCTTTATGAACGTGTTTATCGCAGACAGTATTGGATCTTCGCTTGTGGGAGGCATCCACGCATTTTCCTTTGAGAATGCAAAGCAGGGCAAGATTTAACTTGCTTACAGGACTTCCCCCTCTACCTTACTGCTTATCCTTAATTGAACAATGCGTAAGAATTTTAAACAACTATTCTTTTGACCAAAATAAATTGGGAGAGTAGTAAACTCTAAGATGCTACAGCAAAATTGATCTTGGGGGTTAGGTATGTTTTACTGAATAAACACGAGGACAGGAGGGCTTCTATCCAGTTAGAAAAAGACATTGTACATGCAAGAATCAAAATGAGAAGCGTTTGTGTCTCAATATCAATCAATCAATCTTGAAGTTGTAGAAGTGATTCCTGAACATATTTTCTACTGCTCGATTGCATATAGCACAGCACAAGTGTATGCACATATATCTGTATATTTATGTAAACCTCACACTGCCATGAAGTCTTAAAACAGTCTTTTTGGATTAGACCCATTTTAGTGTAAAACAATTATAACAGAGTGTTTTTTTTCTTTTGTCCCACAGAGGTGAACTATGCAAGTAGCACCAGGATTCCTCTCCCTGGTGACGGACCAGCTATTCAGTCAAACAGTTCAGCACCATCCAAGCCAACTGTTCTATCTTGGCAAGCTGCAATCGATGCTGCTAGACAAGCAAAGGCTGCCCAAAACATGAGTACCACCACAGCCCAGCCTGTAGGATCTCTGTCCCAAAGAAAACGCCAGCAATATGCCAAGAGCAAAAAACAGGGTAATACGTCCAATAGTCGGCCACCCCGTGCCCTTTTCTGTTTATCCCTCAACAATCCAATACGAAGAGCCTGCATTAGTCTAGTAGAATGGAAGTATCCTTCATTGCAGTTTGCTTTTTAAATGATTTTCTTACATTTTCTGATTGTATAAAGGGGATTGTTTTACAGGATCTCTTAGAGCATCACAACTTACATGTTACATCACTGATACGTGTGGGTAACTGTCATTAATGTCAATGGGAGTTAATTTGGCTTCAGTTGCTGTTAAAGATAGTCTCTTGTGTCATGTTGACACAGAATATAATTTACTGAAGTAGGTAGCTCAAAGTCAGAGGAGAGCTCATAGCTGTTGCTTTTTTTGGGAGAAGTTGGGGGAACATTTTCAAGCTAAGATTATATTCCAGCAAATCTCTGCATTGCATTTTTTTTCCTTTCCAGATAAGGAAGAATGGGTGGGAATGTATTTAGCCATCCAGTGTTATGGAGATGGCCAAAGATGTCAAACCTGTATCTTCGATATTGCAGTTTGGGGTATTGCCATTAGGGCAAATGAGTCAGGCGTAGAAATCTTTTTAAAAAGATTGTTTTTCCTGGTACTAAAAAGTAGGGAAGGCTTTTACTTAAGCCAAGGAAATGTTCTAAGTACCCAAAGGTGTCTGAAATATAATAATCTTCTGAGCTTGTGCAACTTTTGTCTACCACCAATCATATTTGGAAGCATGTAGATGGGAGATCAGAGATGCTGCCTTGTGTTCACGATGACCTGTGTGATGGGAAGGATGGCTTTTCCTTTAGTTCAGTGGTTACAGTGTGGAAATATGTGCATTTCTCTGGCAGAACAGATAGCATGTTGGTTTGGTATATTATTTAATCACCAAGAAAAGGTTCTTGGAAATAGAAAATAGTTTTGCTGAGGTACAAGGAGAAAAATGTTAGCCTATTAGCCATGGCAACATCCCTGTAATGGGAAACAGCTGTTCAAGACAGTAGATTGCTGAAGTAAAACTCAATTTGTTACTATAAACAGAACAGCCAACCTGGCAATAAGAGCTGTTACTCATTTATAGGGTTGGTGTTTCTCAGTTCTTTGTACAAAATTCAATTGCAAATTAAAGATAGTGAAATGGCTTCTTCTTTCATTTAAACTGGTAGAAGTCCAACTAATTTCAGTAAATTGGCCTCTCCTTGGCTAAGGTCAGGTAAATGAAATTACTATGGATCTGGAGTGGAATAACTCAGCGAGAATTTGTCCCAGCAGCACCACATCATAAAACAAGGTTGTCAGTCCTGTCATGGCATCAATTGCTCACTCAAGTCTGGAAAATACTGATGGAACTATATTTTGTACACAATGTAGCAGCTGTTGATTTTGATCCACTTTGTAGCCATAAATGTGGCCCTCAAGGTGACAAACATCTATTAGGCTAGCAAATGAAATTTAACTCATCTTATAGAACATATGGGCTTTGTTTGTTTTTCTCAGGGAACTTTTTTAAACTGGCAAAAATATGCTTTTGAATGTATTCAGTACTCTTACCCCAGTCATTTATAGGACTCATATGGAAACTTATCCAGAAGTTGTGCATCAAATACAGAAAAGGATGTCAAAAATTGTACCTGAGATCCAAAGTACTTCTTTTCCAAACTTCCACAGATAAGTTCATCTTGGTACCTCTATGTTCATGGTCATTGAGAATAGCCTTGTGAGAAATAAAATATATTTATTTTATTATAAATGTTATCTCACAATACCTTGTGAGAAAGGAAAATCAATAATGAACTGAAATATGAACTTCGTATGCATGAATTTTAAGGAAAGGAAGAAATTTTTTTCTGGAAGACAGAAGGTATCTCTGGGTTCCCACTGCTACTGTCCAGCTGTAATGAAAGCAGAGCTGCAGGCCATGCTGTTGTCACTGTAGAAGTCTGTAGCTTCTCTTTGTGTGGCTGCCAAGCCAGCCATGATATTCTGTTTTCTGCTCAACTCACCTAAACTTTCATCTGTCCAGGCCAAAGCCAGGATTCAGGAATGCAACTGTCATGAAGTGCCTCAGGATTTTCCTGTGTCAGTTGTAAACCTTTCTAGCTCTCCCAACTGTTAGTATGAGAACAGTTGTGATTTTCTGGGAAATCTTTCTTATATCCTACTCTGAACTATATTTCCAATGATTTTCCACATTTGGACAAATATGTATAAATGAGACCTACATATGAGGATGGAGTAGCTCCATGATTATTCCTTGCCCATTATGATGACCTGCATGTTGATTTAAGAGTGGATAATTATATTCATCTTTGGAATTTAATATAAAGTGCTCTGTGACAGCATGAGTAATAGTTTTCACTCTTTTTAAAAGGAAGAGGACGTTGAAGGATCATTGTGATGGAAAATAATATGGTATATATAGTGCTATAACTAAAGGTGATGGAATGTTTGTCAGAGTTATCAGTCAAAAGATTGCCTTAAAGCAAAGACTTATTTTACCATTGTTGATGCTGAAAGGAGAACCAGACTTAAAAGTTTGTAGATACTTATAAGCCATGAGTTCCTTAACAAGGCTTTTCCAGACCATTTGACATATTTATACTACTGTCTATTTTTGCCAATTGTGTGGCCTTAGCTGTTTACATCCCATTCCCAGAAGATGATTCTAATTCAACTAATCATAATTTGGTAAGTACTCTGGAATTTTTATTTTATATTTGTTCACTATGCTTTTAACATGATTAACTGTTAGTATTTGAGACTGCACTAAATATATGTAATTTCAGTAAAATAAATTGGTATGTAGTGATAAAAAAAATGTATATGGAATTGCTTCGTGGTTTTGTTTTTTTCTCCCAATATTAAGTGTTTGTCCTGTGTTCCAAGTGAGGTTTTTTATCAGTAAAATTCTTTGGAGAGAAATGTGCATTAATATTATGCTCTGTGTGTCCATATATTTGTGGCATAAAAACTTTAATTTTTGTTTCTATTGCTTATATTTACATATAAATATATTATATATATTTACTAGCTGTTACTGTTTCTGACACTTATTTCAGACTTGAAGGTTTACTGCCTTTCCTAGTGTACTTGTCTACTCTGTTAGCAGTTTTTAATGGTGTTATTTGGCTGTTTACTGGGTATTTTAATTTTTAACAAGAGGATGGTGAGAAATTTTGCATTGATACATTTTAAAGCAAAAGGAACATCAAGGTGAATTTTCAAAGCTGTTACTGCTGGTGTAAATGATCTTTTAAAAAAAGGATGGTATTGCAGTAAGTGGTGTGTGGAGATGTATTTCATTGGCTGAGAATAGTATACTAGGGTAGTTCTTGAGAAGATAAAATGGAAACTAATTTTTTTTTAATTCTCTAAACCTTACAAAAGGTATCACTCATGGGTAATATTGAATTGCATTGCAATGATTTTGTTGTTTTTATTAAACTCCATCTTGAAATAGTGGAGTTAAGTGGTCTTGCACACTCATAATCTGCAAGTGACTCTTTGAATGGGAAAGGAAGTTCATGAAATAAATAATTGGATACGAAGAAATAGGTAATTTTGGATTCATTTACCTGGAAAATTAGGGTTGATATGAGGTCTTCTGTTTTATGAACATGTTTGTATAATTTGTAGTGCATATATGTTTATTTTTCTAAAAATGATTATTTTGTGCAGATGACCCATTTATTAATTTTTTTTTTAATTGCAATTAAGTAAATATGGACAAAAATTGCTGGTGAAAGGCAGAATAATTCAGGTCAGTGTAAATTAAGAGTTATGCAGCTGTGTATCCAGCCAACCAACAGACTTTTTTTTTTTCCCCTGAGAAATTCAGGGCACAAATCTCCATAGCTGTCAATCCACCCTGAGATCTGCTAATAACTAATTTCAGAAAGCATTACATGAAAAGGGTAAAGTAGTTACTTGTGTCATAGGCTAATAATTTTGAAAAATGTTTTTAGCATTAGTTTTGTTAGGTTATTGTCTGGTGTTTGTGACCCAATTTCAATTCTACAGTGTGCTAGTATTTAGAAAGAAATGGACATTTTCATCCCTGATGATTTTTTATTTTATCTAATGTGGCCAGGCTAATCTAAGGAATAATGATTTGAGTCTTTTTTTTTCTCTTAGGAAGGGATTCTTAATCCCTATCTATTTTAAGTAGAAGGGTTCTTGAACCCCTCCAATTATATGTGTATGAAACTGACTTGGACATTTAAATGATCTCAAGTTCTCATTTAAATTTGCATCCTGTTTATCCTGAAGCTGTTTCATTCCACTAAGTTTTCTCAAAGACCGGAATTTATACTGGCAATGTACTTTGAGCTGCTGGGACAGATTAAAACTCAATAAGTGAGCACACATCCTGTGTGTTCAATCTAATAAAATAAAATAGCTCTGGAACGAGCAGTGTTGGCTTTTCCTATGGCAGAGGTTTTCCATCATGAAATATGTTAACCAGGGGTCTGGGCTCATGTCTCTCCTCTGGTATTGCACTGACAATTTTCCTTGGGTAGTGTGGATTTAAGTGCACTGTGAGGGAATATAGTAGAAGAGCTGAATTAGAAATCTTAGGCTTGCTTGGAAACCTGCTGGATCCTGTGTTTCCTGCTGCTTGAGGTGTTTGTGTCAATGAGTGTTGGAGAGAGGACTTACAGTGGGACTAGGGATTATTCTGCTCAGAATGTTCAGACCTTTCATATGGTTTTTGAACAGACCAAATCTTAATCATCATTCAACCCTATAGATTTGGCAGGGTTTTGGCTTCCTGCATGCAGACATGGATGCCTGACCTGAGCCCTGCACTCTGGTCTTGCTAGGAGACTGCCCCACTCTGGCTTTAGTTCACGTTCAGCTTCATAAATTTCAGTTTGCATATGGATATTATATCTAGCTTGGTTCAGTGTTGCCACTTTGAATTGAATAGAGGAATTGCTTTCCATCAGCTAGCTGAACTGGCTCTTTTTTTTTTGAATTTGTAAACAGAAAAATGAAGTGTTTATACACGTGGGGTTCTTCTGTGAATACAAAATAGACATAATTTGTAATCTGCCTCAGAACAAGGAAGCAATGGTCTAAGCACAAACCAGTGGAACACTGGTAAATGGGAATTAGAAATGTAAACTTTTCCATTTTTGGTTGGGCTCATAAGAAGGTACATATGAGAATTTGGGCAGTCTAAGCGTTCATCCTTTATGACTTGGAAAGTTTGCAGTGGCAACTTCAGTGCAAGGAGGTATATGCATGTGCACAGACTGCAGTAGAGTGATGAACTTAAGCCTGAGTTCTACTTCATTAATAATTAGTCCCTAATCATTGCATGTACTGACACAAGTGGGCCCTGTTCTCCTCCATGTAGATGGGGAAACTATTACTGAACTGAGAAGTTTTCTGTTAGAGCAGAGGAGGGGCAATGTACCTTGGGAAATCCTGCTTCATATTTTAAGGTGGTTTCCTTCATCTGCCTTCAGAAATTTCGGGTGATCTGAAGTTTCCATGCTTGATTGAGCTCTTCTGTTTTGGAAGAATTTCTTGTCTGAGCTTGAGAAGAAGCAGTTTCTAGCATAAAGGGTTTCTTGTATATAAATCTTATATCTGTTTCTGTCTTTTCCTTTCTTTTCCTCATCTGTGGTATGTTATTTCTCTTTGCCTCCTGATGTTCTGTGCTTTGCCTCCTGCTGCCTTTCCTATTGCCCTGACTTGCACCGGGCTTCTTTATTGTGCACAGGCAGACCAACACAATACAAGTCTGGATTTTGGCTATGGTCAAGACACTGTTGGTTTTTCTTTTTCTTTCCTGCTTTTTAATAAGTAAATATGATCAATAAGAAAGTATCCATCCAGAGCTGCTGAAAAGGACAGCCCTGAAGTTTGAGCTGAACCTTTGGTTGCACGGCATCTCTTGTGACTAGACCCCCAAGGTTTGTGTGGTGACACTGTTCTACTTGAGATGGACAGCAGAGCCAGGGGGTGGGAGACCCAGCTGTATAAATTACAGCAAATTGGCAAAGCCCCAAGAGTAGAGTTTGCCTCTAGTGCACAAATGGTCTTAATGTTAATTGAAGCCTTTGTGCCCCTGATAATAGGATTCTCGGCCTTGCCCAAGTAGCACTGTCTGTGGGGAAGCCTCTGAGTGAGGCTCTGTGCTAGGGGCACTCCAGGCTGTGCTTGCAGGGCAGGTGCTGATGGTCCTGGGTGCCTCTTTATCCCAGGCTGGGACTGGGAGAGCCGTAGTGGGGGACACTGCTACAGAAAGGTAATGTTTGTGTCCTACTTTCAGGCCAAGATTTCCTCTGTAAGTAGCTTTACGTGGCTCTTTGAGTCCCTTCAGCAGGAGGAAAGCCAGTGTTGTGCCTTCAATCTAGGGCACAGCAGGAGAGTACTCTGAGAAGAACCGGTTGAACTCTTGACTTAGAGGTGTCAGGCTTCCTGTCCTTATCTCATTAGCAACTCGATGACTCATTCAGTTCTGAGGCCACATGACTAATTAATCCATCCATTGAAAAGGTTGTTGGTTTTTACCTTGCACCCAGTTGTCCTCTATACGGAGATTATCTGAAAAGATTGTAGGAGCCTATAAATTTAAATCTCATTTAGTAAATAATTCTAAAGATTGTTTAATTGCTAGGTGTTCAATGCTGTAGATTAGAAAGGTTTCTGTGTTTATCTACTGTCTTTTCTGTGTTTACTTTTTCCGCTCAAGAGTCTTTAAGGCCTGGCTCTCTTTCCACTCACTTAGAAAATCTTCCAAGCTAAATAACTTTTTGATACTGTGTTACTGATATTTTTCTATCTTTGGAGTCTTAGCTAATGCTCTCTGCTAATGCCTCTGCTAGCTGGCATAAAAAGTCACCCAAGTAAACTTTTCAGGAAAGATGCGAGATAATTTGGACTCTACTGAAAATACTTCACTTTGCTTGGGAGAACATTGTGGGGACCATATAATGACTTGTGTATACATAGCCAAGCTACCCATACTAAAGATACCAGATGAATTTCTTGTAGGAGAAAACAACACTAAGTTTAATCAGGAAAAGATTCAAAAATATAGGATCTAATTGTAAGTGATATACCAGAGGAATTTTACATTGTGCATTGATTCAAGTCAGTGAAATGTATTTACATGACTGTGTATGAATGGGAGGGGAGAAAATGAGACTGGGAGCAAGTCATTAGCTCGGTTTTGGAAAAAAATCCCCTCACTGAAAGGAGGAGACTTGGGTCAGTTTTTTTGTCTATATGCAAATGTTCTGAGGGATAGTTTTGATAATTTTTTTGCTGCTTTTCAGGGACATTGACACCCTGACATGTATTTTCTTGTTCAAAAACCCATGAAATAACTATTTAACTACAAGAACAACATGCCTTACCTTTCTGAAAATTTATTATAAAGTTATTTGATGGTTATTAGGTGAGATAGAATGCATCAGTACATAACCTTTAACAGATGACATTTCTGCAAGGAGATTATTAAAAAATATTGTAATTTAGTACTCATTCCTACCTTCCTATTTCAATTTTTTAATATTACTGTTGCCCCAAAACTACAGCAATGCATAGTAGCTAATTATTATGGATTACTTTGATTTTTTCAATGCAGATTTACTGTCTGTGCTGCCCCAGTTACATGACACAGCTCTTGATTTTTTCTGGTGAACATGACTGTATGTGTCAAGTCCCTCTCT